AAAACATATTTATTTACAATTTTTTAGGGTGTATTTTTTTGTTTATTTCTTCTTTTTATAACGAATTACATGTAAGTGTTCAGCTGTTTTTTTCTTTTTTTTCCTTCCTGAAGTTTCGCAAAAATAACCGCACTTAGACAGGATTAGACGATACCAAATTGTGATAATAAAGTAAGCAGTTTTGATAACCGATAAAAGTCTCCACCTGCACTCACTATGATACCGATAAATATTTTTTTTTTTTGGTGGGACCATAAGGGAAAAAAAATCTACCAATAAATTTCCAATGGAACAAAGAAATGTATTTAATGCCAAAAAAAAGGGAAAATCTGTTTTTTTGAAGTTTTTTATATGGATAAATTGTCTGAAATTTCGCAAAACAAATGAAACTGTTTTTTTTTTCCTTCTTTTCCAGCACAATTTTTTCAACAAATATATCCATAATAATTTTGACTACTGCCATTTATAACCAACCAAATTGTTATAGATGATAAATACGTCGCTTTTTTTTCTTCCTATGAATTATTTCTGTTCTTTTGCGTTGTTTTTTTTTTTTTACTCAACATTTTCTTGGCTGTTGACAATTATTGTCCACATCAAACCGATACCGGGTAGAAAAAAAAAAGACAATAAAGTAGAAATTTTGAAATGCTTATTGTTGTGGAAAATAAAACTAATGTTTTGCCATCTTTGTATATTAGCAGTTTCAGAAATTTTTATATGATTTTTTAGATGCTTTTCTTGGCCTATGTGCTATCGTCAACAGTGATCGCCAATATTGATGTACCGGTAATTATTGACCGTGAATTCAGTCGACAAGTTGATCCAGCAGATTTCCTAATCGATTATGATGCTGAAAGACCACCAAGCAGTTTGGTAAAGGTAATGTCTACTTGTGGAACAACTTAAAAAACATTTCCTTTATCTAACTCTAAGAATTTTATGGCTTTTATTTGCTTGCCGTTTGATGTCTACACATTCTGTTTTGATAAGAGTTCCCTTAGTGGACCACGTTTAAACAATCTTTTTTTTTTTTCTTTAGAAACTAACCTTTGTTAAAGCATTTTGGTAACAACAAAATCAACACTGTACCGTTGGAACAGCACCGATACAGCTTGAAAAACAACAGTCGTTAAATAATTTCCTGTTATCTAGTCAACATATTTTTTGAGCATTGCAAAAACTCTTTTTATTTTCTATTTTTTGGAGCAGTGATTAGCAATGTGAGTTCAAAGAAGTTATAACTTAGTGGTTGTATGCAGCAGTTTAATAGTAGTTTTCTATATTTGCCGAAAAGATGGGATGTTGCCAAATGTTCTTCAATTTCGCCTTCCGCTTTAACCAACATTAATGGATCACAAATCTGCTATTCCTTTTTGCGTTGGCAACACCAGCAAAGCATCAATCCTTCTGTTTCCTTTATGAAGGAGAAAAAAAGAGCTTTTTAACCTATCTATTTATATGCTTTTTTTTTTCATTCAAAAAATTCAAAAAACATCAACACTGAACAACTAAGAAAAGTGTTTTGGAAAAAAAGTGTGAACTAGTTAGCAAACCTTCATTACAACTAATGTTTTCCTCCTTCCTGCCTTCAAAAAAAAATTTTTTTTCCGCTCCTGAACAATAGCCAACTTATATGTTGACCCAATTGATTATGCCTTGCTGATATATTCTCAGTTTATTCAAACCATTCTTTTTTCTTTTACTGACCGTTAAGAAAAAGTATTTTTAATTGAAGGATTGTAGTTATTTTTTTAATATTTTAAAAGGTTTTGATTTTTTGGAATTATGCTTCATCTCTGCAGAAATATCATATCGTTGCTGAAAAACAGTGAGACTTATTATTCCTGAGTTGAATGCTGTGATATGTTATTCTGACAAAGTAGACTTGCCAAGCAGATCAAATTCTTTTTCCTTGAATAAGAAGTGTTTTTTTACTAGTTTTTGCTCTATCTAGTTATGTTTCTTTTTTTCTGAAAATCAGAATAGGATGGCGAACATAGTTCATCGAGCAATAAAGGTAAGCGGTAGGGAACGGAGAAGCAAAGGGCAAAGCATAAAGGATAAAATTTTTTTTTAAAAAATTATCAATATTTTTTACTTTTGACGGAAACTGACTTATTTTATTACATTTATTAGGTGGATGTAATTTTTGATGTTAAATACCTTAAATGGAAACCAGAAACTGTGGACATTATATTGGAACTCACACAGGGATGGGAAGACGCTCGTTTGACACTTCCAGGAGGAATGAGTATTTTTGTAAGTGCTAATGTTGTTGTGTCAGTCGTATGTCGTTTGTTGGAGACAGAAGAAAACAATTTTAGGAAATCATTGCTTCTTTTTTTTTTTTTTTTGCAGGTACCCAAAGACCGTAGGCTTTGGTTACCGGATAGTTATTTTGAGAATGCAGTTGAGGTGGAGTGGCAAAGAGATCATTCACGGCGTCTAAATCGTGGTGTAATATATGAAAAACAGCGAGTAAAGCTGGTTGTTCCATGCATTGAACAGCGTTATTCCAACGAAACGGTAAGATGATAGAAAGAACTTTTATACGTTTATCTACTTTTAAGATTCCTTTCCAACTGTATTATTTCGGCAACGTCAGTAATGCAGATGCTGAGCATTACTGTTTCTTTATGAAAACCAATGTGTACTGAAGCCCCTTAAATGTGCAGGATGTAATTAGAATTGTATCTAATAAGAAGCCGACTTTAGTTTATATATATATATATATATATA